GACCCCTGGTCCCAGGCAGCACGTCTAGTCCCTATCCGCATATTAAAAAAAATTGCACGTCTAGTCTCACGTACTAGAGGAGTACTACAAAAGCATACATGTAAACAGATATGGACGCATTTAATTTAAGTTTTCAAATTTTTAAAAAGTCATAATTTTTAAAGCGCGCTTCGGAATTGAGATCCGTTTTCACCCTTGGAATCCTCGCGACGTGCTCTTCGAAAATAGATCCCGCATGGGGATGTTTCGACGAACTATTCTTCCTGTCAACTAAATATCAATGTGTGTGCAACTAGACTGCATTGCCACGCCAACTGAGCATAGGTGTGTGCCAAATAGTCCTGCGAAATAAACATCAATGTGTGTGCAACTAGACTGCATTGCCGCGCCAACTGAGCATATGTGTGTGCCAATAGTCCTGCCAACTAAACATCAATGTGTGTGCAACTAGACTGCATTGCCGCGCCAACTGAGCATATGTGTGTGCCAATAGTCCTGCCAACTAAACATCAATATGTGTGCAACTAGACTGCATTGCCGCGCCAACTGAGTATATGTGTGTGCAACTAGAGTCCTGCCAACTAAACATCAATGTGTGTGCAACTAGACTACACTGTCGCGTCAATTGCGCATATGTGTGCAACTAGAGTCCTGCCAACTAAAATCAATGTGTGTGCAACTAGACTAAATTACAAGCCAATTGAGCATATGTGTGTGGAACTAGTCTTCCTACCAACTAAACATCAATGTGTGTAACTAAACTAAATTACAAGCCAACTAAACATCAATGTGTGTGCAACTAGTTTTTCTGCCAACTAAATATCAATGTGTGTAACTAGACTACATTACAAAGCCAACTAAACATCAATGTATGTGCAACTAGATTACATTATAAGCCAACTAAATATCAATATATGTGCAACTATACATCTATATCTTGACAAATCTAATAAAAGAATTTAAGACGAAGGGAGTACATTACAAGTCAATTGAGCACAAAGTAGCTGAATATAAGCAACACACCATGGGCTGCACAAACAAGAACTCCATTTTGCTAGCCGTCGATGTCTTCGTCTTGCCCTAGATTGAGAACGAGCTCCCTTTTTCCTACTTCGTCCGTTCTTCCTCCGGCCGCTCCAGCTACAATCCAATCACCTACTTCCTCATCTCCCAGCTATTGCAGTGACACCTAGATCTCATGGTGGCCATTGCTCCCTTTCACTCCTCCGTCCAAAGCTCGCCTTGTCCTCCACCCAACCTCAACAGATCAGGCACGGATGGGTACGCCGGCCACCAGATCCTATACGTACGCGAGCGGCGGCGCCCGGACCTAGCCGAGAGGCGCGGCGCCCGTCCCCAACTTGCGGCGGCCGGCGCAAGAGGAGTGGAGGCAGCGGTGCGAGAGAGGCGGAGGTTGCGGCGCGAGGTGCGGCGGAGGTGGACGACGCGAGGGGAATGGGGACGAAGGGTGTGGAAGCGTAAATAGCGACAAACGCCAACCATTCTGCGGTTGACAGCGCCCGACCAGGTAGCACCTGACCGACTCGTGCGGCGATTTGGGGGTGGGATCGTGCGGCCAGGAGCCGGCCGCTTGTTCTCTCGAAACAGCACGCGGCCACTTTTTAGATTTTAGGTATTTTTAATTATCAGTTTTGTTAAAGCACATCTAGATACGTCATAAGTATTGCACATCTAAATTCTATATCATTGATTTTACACGAAGATCCATGTGGATATTTTACTTTTATTTTTTATTTTCCTTTTTATGCTTAATTCACTTACTTAGATGTGCAATAAATAGAGCACATCTAAATATGACCTAAACAGACCCGTTAGTTATATACGCCCCTGATCCTGTATGTCATCTAGTATTACCTTGCCTTTGCCATGCTATACATCCATGATTAATTCCAGAACAAGTTCTTCAGAAAGATTGCACGTTTTCAAGTATCAGCTACTATGTTTTTCGTCATGTTCTGAAAAGGCTACTATGTGTTTCTCAAGAGAACGAGAGGAAAAACCTCTAAGACTGTTTGTTGGTTTTTTGGACAACCATAAAAATCCCTTACACTACTTATTGATTTTGCGGATATAATAAGTATAAAAGCCACTAAGATTTGATGGTTTTCCACTGATCATCTGTTCGAATGTCATCGATCACAACAAAATATCTGAAAGATAGATCATGAAGAAAAACAAGTAATACAAATCTTTTTTGAAGCAAAAATAAAACCTTCCATCTATAACACTCATTGGTAGGATTTGTCTCCGTCTATAGATTTTTGGGGTTTGGACCAATAAATTGGGAATGATTTTATCATTGGGTGTGTCTAGGGCACATCTAGATGTGCTCTAGTTATTGCACATCTAAATGAGTGAATCAAACATAAAGCGGGAAAAAAAAGAAAAAGAAAATATCCACACGGATCTCAATGTAAGATCAATGACATAGAACTTAGATCTGCAATACTTATGGCACATCTAGATGTGCTTTAGCAAAACTGTTTATCATTTGTACCATCAGAAATTGGGCCGCTGATCATTAAGATTTGGATGACGTTTAGTTTAGTTTTCATTAAGCTGACTAGCTAGAAATTAAACACTATACTGGGACGCGGAGTTTCTGCATCCGAGCTCAAATAGCTCGGGTGAACAGTAAAATCAAAACTAAATCAAAAAAAATTAAAAAAATCCAATTTTTTTGTGAGAAACATTGACAAAAGTTCTAAGTGCTTGCAAAAATTCACCATGAAATCACATTGCTAGAAGGCGTGGCAAAAAAAAACAAAATCAGTACTCTGAAAAAGCTACATTCAAAAGCATTTTCGAGCACTGAATTTGTTTTTTTGCCACGCTTTACAGGAATGTGATTTCATGATGAATTTTTGCAAGCACTTAGAACTTTTGTCAATGTTTCTTCCAAAAAAATGTGGAATTTTTTGAATTTTTTTTTATTTTTTTCGATTTTACTGTTCACCGAGCTCAAATGAGCTAAAGGCACTTTCGACCATACTGGTGCATCTGTGGAAGATAAAACAGAGACATGTTTCTTGAAATTAATAGGTACAAAGGCGAAATGAATAAGGCAAACCCGAAGTTGAGTACCTCTTCTTTTTTTTTTTGAAGCATTGAGTACCTCTTCTTCACCAGCTGTTGTTTGAGTTCTGCGCAGAGTTGGCCGTCATCGGAGGTCTCCAGTACACTTTTCCCCACTAGCACCTCCCGTGCGATCTTCAGCACTGCATAAACCCACGCGTGCTTCTCAAATATGGTGCTTCGGTGCTACTGTGTTCGTTCCAAAATAATTGAAGTTCTAGAATTGTCTTAAGTCATAGTTCATTAAGTTTGACCGTGTCTGCATAAAGATATATTAACATCTATGAAATCAAATTTACTCTAATAGATTCACGCAAAAATCAATTTTTCATATAATATATATTTCATATCGTAGATCTTTACGATTTATTCTATAGAATTGGACAAACTTTAAAAAGTTTGACCTAGAAAAATCCTAGGAATTCAATTAATTCGGAGCACAGGGAATATGCACACATAGAGTCCCAACCAAAAAAATTATGTATAATTTAAAAATATTTAACTTCATATTAGTTAGCCAGGGATAAGCATGCTACTTAAATTCTTCATCATATTTCGTTATTAGAATAAATAATGAATATATAGGTCCACTCTATTTCTAACTTTTGGTTACATGCATTTCTGAGTTTGAACACTAACCATGAAGACCAAATAGATTACATATTTTTTAATTAATAACTGGGATATCTCCTATTTTACAAAGCAATGGCACTCCCAGGATAGACGTTGAATTTTTTTCTTAGATTATGGAATATATAGATATACGAGTGTATATATTTTGAAATGCAAATTTTTTTGTTAAGTAATTTAAAATGAAAGTAGAAGTCAGATAGTTTTAAAATATTTTAAAATTGAGTACCTAAGTTTCAATTTCCTATAAAGAAATCTCAAATTTGATATCCATGTGCAAATTATCAGTTATCTTTTCTTTTGGAAACTTTTTTTTGAAATAATTTATGATTTTACGGACAATTTATTTTGGAATAATTTAAGATTTCAAGGAAGCACATATTTTACATAACAAGATTTTAAAAAATGAATTCTTACTAGTGATATTTTTATCAATTTTCATGTTGTACATGCATATGTTCTTTTCCCACATATATACGCTCCATATTTGATAACCATGAAATTTTGGAGTCATCATTCTAAATGTTTATGTGGTCTAAACTTTGCATTCGAACCAATTAAAATTAAATAGCAACGTAAATCCCCATAAAATTATGGGTAATAAAAATAGTGGTAGAGAATATAAAAAATTACAAGCCAAAAACGACTTTTGGATTCCAGGCTCCAATGATGTTCAGAAAAATCGTAAATAAAATTTGAAGTGCAAAGAAGCTTGCTATTTGTTTTAAATGTAAACATGGATGTGATCTATGTACCTATAAAAATCTAATGTATATTTTTTTATATGTGGGCACATAAAAAACACATATTATATGTATATATGAAATAGAAAATATTGCATGCACTGTTTTACATGGTATGGTTGGTTTGAGCCTAGGGTTGCCAGAACAAACGTCAGCTCAATCATAAACTATTTGAACCCTCAAATATTTTCTTTTCTCTTCCTCACAATTTTTCTTTTCGGAAAAATGGGAATCTGTTCAGTAAAATGCGTAATGGGCCAGTCCAGTGGCCGCATTACGTAATGGGCTGTTGCCTCCTAGCAGCCCAAACAGTGCTAGCCGGCCCCAATTCGCCCAACCGCAGCCCACCTCTACCCCCGCTAACCCTAGCGCCAGGGGGAGAGCGTCGGCTCGATCCCCCACTCGCCCCCCCCCGCGACACACGCGCGCGCCCGCCGCCGCCAGGGCACCTTGCGCCTTTTGCCCCCGCTAACACAAGCGATCTGTGCCTTGCACCGCCGAGCAAGAGCATCTCCATCGATCGACACCGCCATGGCATCGATGTCGTCGAGCCTCTCGCTGCCGTGCCTCGCCCTCCAGTGCGACTTGGGCCGGTCGACGTCGACGGTGCTGCTCAGCGTGCCGGAGAAGAAGGTCGTCGCCACGGCGGCCGACGTCGACGCCCTCATCGCGCCAGCGCTGGCCAACAAGAGCGTACTGCCCACGGCGCGTGGCTACGTGCTCGCCCGGGACCCCGCCTCCCTGGCCACCTTCCTCTACAGCCCCCAGAGCCGCCGCAAGATCGACCTGCCGCCGCTAGCCATCGACCAGGACCTGCTCAGGCACGGCGCCCACTGCCTGCTCTCCCACGAGCCCACCGATCCCAGCTGCGTCGTGCTCCTCGTCGAGCCCAACACCACCTTCATCTGGCACCTCCGCCTCGCCGGTGACCAGACGCAGTGGCAGAGACACGAGTACGACATCGGGTCCCAAGTGTACGACGACGACGAGGATGACGAAAAGCATCCGGCCTGGGTCGGGAAGACCGTGATCCGCCAGATTAGCGCGTGCCGCGGCAAGTTCTACTTCAACCTGCCCTCGACCGAGCTGGGCGTCGTCGACTTCTCCGCTGGCCCGCCGGCTTTCGGCTCGATCCCCGCCGGGTGCCACGACGAAGGGGAGTATGCCGTGGTGGGCAGGGTTTTCCTGGTGGAATCCGGAGGGGAGCTCTACATGGTAAAGCTGCTGATGGACGAGGCCAACCTGAACAAGTACACGGGCTTGAGCGTCTACGTGATGGATTTCGAGCGGACGCGGTGGCGCAGGGTGGGTGATCTCGGCGGCCGCACCTTCGTCATGGCGCCAGTCTACGTCGGCGCCTCGTGCGAGGCCGGACGGCTCCGAGGCGACTGCGTGTACGTGGTGTGCCCAATGTCAAAGGAGTTGCAGGTTTTCGACGTCAAGGCCGGCAGCATCCAGACGCAGAGGCTTGACGAAGCTCCCTTCTCGAACAACGGATTTTGGGTGCTTCCCACTAGCTGCTAAATATCCATATCCATGTGTACGTATAGGTTCACAACTGTGCTAGTATTATCACCTTGCCTTTGCCATGCTATAACCATGATTAATTCCACAGCAAATTCTCCAGAAAGATTGCATCTTTTCAGCTACTGTGTTCTTGGAAAAGCTACCATGTGTTGTTTAAGAGAACAAAGGGAAAATCATCTAGAACTGTTTGTTGGTATTTGACCTGAATATCTGGTGTATGTCAGATTTGGGGAGATTTTGAAGAATATTGGTACTTATATTTATAATGTTGAACATGTTTATTTTTGTACAAATATACAAAAATGCTTTGAGGGAGTACCAGCAGGGGGAAAAAATCTTCGGATGGAAAGGCATGTAAGCCAATACAACATCAAAATTTCTGCAAAAATTATGTAATACACAATAAGCAATTTCTGGCCAAAGGGAAAGCACTATGATTTCTCTGCAAATTATGTAATGTAAGGGAAGCTTTTTTTTTTACCGTAGAGAGAAGTTCGTCGAATGCCTCTCATTATGGAATTATCAACAGCGATCACTGTGAGAAATATGCCATTATTTGTTGATCCCCCTTGATGATCTAGCAAGAAAAGAGCGGCCTTGGCAACGTCGATCATTGACCGAAGGTGTCGGAGGAACAATTAAGATCGATAACCTCACCCTTTTTGATAAGTCCCACCCATCCTCTAGATCGATGGTCTTGCAATCCTGCCTTTGCCCCGCAAGCTGCCAACGCCGTCCTAGCCGCCGGTTCACATCCCGATGCGGACGCAAACCCTAGAGGAGGCTAGGCTCAGTTGCTTCCATCACCCCGAGGGGTTTGTGTCGTTTGAGGGGAGAGAGCAGATAGATTGGGTGGGAGTTGGGGTGACCAGATTATGAGGAGGGATTCTGTCGCTAACGTTTTAGTTGGAGAAAAACTTTGCTTCCGCTTCTGCGGGTCGAGGGAGGGGAGCCTAGCGAACACAGGGTCCAGCTCTTTGCCGCAGATCTTGTCCACATATGGTCAATCAAACGACCGAAAAAAATTAAGATGATGTGGACACACGAGAGGGCAGAGTTACGGGTTAGTGGGCTAAATGATCCAGGTTTGAGCTTCTCCAGCTCCTATTTAATTTGAGCATAGCTCCTCCTATGTCAACAGCCAATATTTTTATCAAGGAAGGCAAAAAACTCGCCACGAGATCTTCTACCAATTTGATGCTGAAGCAATAAAAAAGATTCGAATGCCGACAAGCGAGGTGGAAGATTTTGCTGCATGGCACTTTGAAACAGGAGTTTTCACTGTTACACGATATCAAGCCAGTTTCCCCTGATACACGATATCAAGCAACTTCTACTTAGGTTCGGATCTCAACAAGTGGGTGCCATCAGAAGATCGGGAATGGTCTGGCGCACGGCCTGGCTACGCTCGCGAAAACGAAAGCCCCGTCCCTTTTCCATGCCTTCATTCTTGTATGGACACAAATACTTGGGGGCTCTGAAGGTTTCAAGACAGAGAAGAAAGGAGCAAATGGCTAGTTCAAAATCTATAATGTCGGAGAAGGTACGTACATGAAGTTTCTGAACATCACCTTATCATCAACGCCACGCCGTTTTCACATATAACGTTTTCCCTCACTTGTATATTAGATGTTTGGTGCACTATTCTTTTGGGTAGTTTGTTTTCTGTGGCTTTATTAGCCTTCATCTCTTCGGGATGTAATTAGTCGTCCAATACGGTAATAGATGATTCATAATTGCCATATATCGCCCGTAGCGAGAGCTAGGGGCAAATCGCCCACAAGTACTATGGCGTGGGCCGGCCCAATAGCAATCACTACATATGTTTTTACGTGCACCGCAAATTTTATCGCAATGTGGTTTTTTCTGGAACCCGGTTTCTTTTCAGCATTTTTATAAATACCATTTTTTATGCATGAAATTTTTGGAAAAATAGATGATGCACATTTTATGTTATATGTGGAATATTGTTTAAATATATGTTGTTTTTAAAACACAGGTTGAACTTATTTTAACACATATTTGACATTTTTCAAACATATGTTGAACACTTTTTTATTATACGCTGAACAGTGTTTAAACATATGTTGAAATATTTTTAAATACACATTGAACTTATTTTAACACATACGGAAATTTTTTAAAGATATGTTGAACATATTAGTCACTTCTCTAAATTTCTAAAATTCATGAGCATTTTTAAATCCACAACCATTTTTTGAGTTTCCTGAACCTATTTTAATTCTGTGAACTTTTTCTAATATCAAGAAGATTTTTCTAATTTCATCTCTTTTAATTCATGAAATTTAAAATTCATTGAACTGTTTAAAAACTTTGACCAATTTTCAAATTCTGGAATATGTTTTCTATTCATGAACATTTTCTAAACACAATGGTTTAAAAATCACATAGATTAGACATTTCATTTGAAAACTATTCTTTTAATTTGTATCATATGCTACTATAACGATCATAATTGCCGCTGCAGAATAACCATACCACTTTTCGAAAAAATAGCGCTTCTTTTGTGGCGTGCTTGTTAGTAAGCGATCCGGCCATTGGGAGCTTAGTAACTTTACTATTGCTTTACCAAATTATCCTAGGTACAAAAGATAAGGAAGCATGGGCACGTGTACAAAACACCCATCTAGCTGCCTTCAGTACCCGCAGAGAACCAAAGGAAAAACCAACAATTGCAACACATACAGATGGCCCCTCTATGTTGGAAATATGCCCTAGAGACAATAATATTGTATTATTATATTTCTATATTTCTATATTCATAATTAATAATTTATGTTATATGCCATAACTGCTATGATCCTGGAATACGTGATTCAGTAAAAAAACTCATATGCACGTGTGGAATGATAAACAGTAAAATTAGATTCCTAGCATCGCCTCTAAGACTAGTTCAAGTGTTGTTGGTGATCATGTTTTCCGGATTTTAGGATACCATTAAGTGTAACAATAGTACTAAAACAACATTGAGAATACGACGTTACAAGAATGATCATATTGAATCGACCCAAACTTGTTTGTTATACTTTAAGATAATATTGTTAGAAGTCAATTTTTATAACACAGAGTGTTAATGTGTGATTTAGTTCCTTAGACCATAAGAGTATCATAATCACTTCTCACCGTATGATGAACTTTGGGGTTGCTCAAATATCATATCTAACATGGCGATCTTAATGACAACTTACATATTCATCGGAATGTTTGAAAATGGATTAGATAGCTCGAGAGTGGAATTTGCTCCTCCAATATTGGAGAGATGTCCTTAGGGCCCTCTCGGTGTGATGGCATCCATCATCATCTGAACAGACACATGTGCTATGTCACGGGAATGCCGGAACATGTCAACAAGAAAGAAGAAGAAAATTGGTAACGGGGAGACCGGTATAGTGAGCATGTGTGTGACTCACAAGGATTTAGATTTATCTCACCTCAAGTTTTGTAAAGTATCACGAAGCAAAGGGAATAGCACATGATAACCAAAGGTTCACTCGAATGTCATTCATGTACTCATAGGCATCAATATGGACGTCCATGGTTCCGGTATCGATCATTGAACGGAAGGGGATTTGTTCATGTCTATGTTTTACTGAACCTACGGGTCACAAGCTTAAGGAAATCATGATCTGCTGAGTGTTAGTAGAATGAGAGTAATGAGGAAATATTTGTGAAATTGTTTCATTAATATTCCAAATAGTTCCGAGAGGAACCGGCAGCATTTCGGGGTCACTGGAAGGGTTTCAGAGTTTTTCAGGCAATACCGAGTATTATTGATAAATAATATATAGGTGGAAAATGTTTTCAAAGATGTTAAATTAATAATGGAAGACTCTAATAATAGTTATGAGGCTTTTATATTTAATTAAATATCAATGGGCGGAACTGAGTGCTACCATATTTGTTTTCATATTATTTTGCAGAAGCGCAAACGAATACAGAAACCCCGGAAATGAATACGGAAACAGATACTACCGAAAACGGACATAGAGCAAAAACAAAGCGGACACGGAAATAGAAGTGGGTGTTGACGGGAACCTAAAAAGTCCTTGAACCTTAGAGAAAGAGAGACAAAACATAAACAAATTTATTGAATTGTTACCATGGCTACAAAATAATATCACTATGTTAGCAACTTAGCGTAGTATTGTAGTAGTATTGGACAATTGCGTATAGGGTCAAACTGAGTACATATGTGGTAGTAGAAGTTGGGCTCAAATGATCCATTCTACTCCTTGTATAATTGTGTGTTGTTTAGTGATTGGACTGCAAAGCAGCCATAGGTTTATAGTAAAAACGGAAATTCCATATTCATGGAAACGGAAAGTTCCGTTTCCACGCCTGTTCCACCGAAAAACACCGTTTCGTTTTTGTTTCCATTTCCACATAAAAAATTCCATTTCCACTTCCGTTTTGCAAATTTTTGTTTCCGTTTCCATGTTACCTCTCCGTTTCCATTTTTCCTTGGAAAAAAACGGGAAGTTTCCGCTTCGTTATCAGCTCTAAATGGGCCCAAAACGGCTAAGTGGTGGAAAGAAGGCGTGATGTCTACTACACAACCTTCTTCTTGTAGACGTTGTTGGGCCTCCAAGTGCAGAGGTTTGTAGGACATTAGCAAATTTCCCTCAAGTGGATGACCTAAGGTTTATCAATCCGTGGGAGGCGTAGGATGAAGATGGTCTCTCTCAAACAACCCTGCAACCAAATAACAAAGGGTCTCTTGTGTCCCCAACACACCCAATACAATGGTAGATTGTATAGGTGCACTAGTTCGGCGAGGAGATGGTGATACACGTGCAATATGGATGGTAGATGTAGGTTTTTGTAATCTGAAAATAAAAAATAGCAAGGTAACTAATGATAAAAGTGAGCGAAAACGGTATTGTAATGCGTTGAAACAAGGCCTAGGGTTCATACTTTCACTAGTGCAAGTTCCTTCAACAATAATAACATAATTGGATCATATAACAATCCCTCAA